TATAAATACATAGTTCACAGTACTGTTCTCTGCTGGCTCCATTAACATTGACAGGGGCACTAACTATCACAGATTTGTAGTAATAATAATTATAAATAATCAAATCAATAGCCAATGTTTGTTCCTCTTTCTATTATGTTTGACACCATGCTAAATGTTTTACGTGGATCATTTCATTTAATTCTCCTTCCAACATAGATTCACTTTTATGAGTTCCCTCACTTTATAGATGAGTAAACTGCAGCACAAGGAAGTTCAGCCACCTGCCCAGGGTACGTAGGTAGCAGCTGATGGAGCCACATTTTTCCTCCAGAATCTGATTGCAGCACTACACTGTATGGCTTCCCCACATCACTCTTCCATGGTGACATGACCCACTCTCTAATCTGTTGTCTTTGCCTTTTGTTCCTTGCAGTGTTATCAGACTCCCCTTGGACCAACACCTCTGGATCTTGCAAGGGCAGATGCTTTGAACTTCAAGAGGTTGGACCTCCTGATTGTCGGTGTGACAACTTGTGTAAGAGCTACATCAGTTGCTGCCATGACTTTGATGAGCTCTGTTTGAAGACAGGTATGTAACTTTTGAGTCCTCTCTAGTTTCAAGTAGATGGCTTAAAGACTCCCTAGTGTTGTACACCCTGGAGTTGCCACCTTGCTTTGCAAAGAAGGTTCTTTGCAGGTACAGTCATTATGTGCTGGTGTTGGAAGTAGTTTTTTTTTTTTTTCCATCTTCATCATTTCTGTCCCTTGCTTTCAATTTCCACATTCACTGCTAGTGCATGTGGGCTAAAATTGTGTATATATTTTAAGAAAAAAATTTTTTTGGCTTGCTTTCCAAGTTTCTAGGATTTGTTTTATTAATACTTCACCTTATCATACAGTGACTGTTAGTCTATCCTGATGTCATTCCCATTCTCTCTGCAAGTGGAAAATTGTCATGGAATTCTTTTTGGAGTCTCCTGCTCTGGATAGCTCTGAAATCTTCCTTTAAAGTCTTCTTGACTTTCTTTACATTTCTTCTGTACCAGAACAGTTATTAGAATACACAGGAATGAATGCACATGACTTGAGAAAAACACCTTTGAGGACTGTTGCCATCCCACCTGGTCTGTTTTCAAAGATTAACATTTCAGACAGCACTTTTAAGATGTCTTATAGGCTACCCACCATACCTTCATAACCATATTCAAACTAACTAGAAAGACAACACTCAACCCTGTTCCTAACATATTAGAAGCAGATTCCACAGCTCCCTTGACAAATTATTACTTGTTTTTAGACTTCTATGCATTTCAAAAACCTAACGTATGTTATCATTGCTGTTAGTTTGATCTTTCTAATGATATCATTAGAAAGAGACATTATTTTGCTTAAACAATAGCCCTTGATTAATATGAAATTTGATATCAACTCCCTTATTAGTTCTGATTTGTTTGTTCCCTACCTCAAAATAAGAAGAGCTTCGTTATGCTGGTTTTTGCATAATACATTTTCCAAACATTTAGCCACCTTTTTTTGTTGCTTTCCTTTGGAACTTCTCCCAGGTTCCTTTAGTTGTGGGTCTGCTAACTTAATTGCTGAGACCATTGTAAACTGAATATATGGATGGAACAGATGTTCTAACAGAGTTCTTTGCTTCTAAAGCATTATTTCAAACCAGCAGTTTGTGTTTGCTTGGCACCAAGGAATTTACTAATGTTTTATGTTTCCTTCCTACCTGGAGTATGTTGTCCCTGCCATGTCATCTCAACTTTCCGGATTCCTGGTCTTAGACTTCTTTGCAAAATTTAATAGGTCTCCTGACTTTAGCTTAACTCTCTCTGAAC